GAGCGTGATTTTTGAGCCGAATTCTGACTCTCTGCACCTATTTTCAGTTTCAAATTACGACGTTTCATACCTAAAATATGCCAATTACTGTAAACGGCGATGGGTCATATTTCGCCCAAACACCCATGCAGTTTTTGAAAATGTCTGAAATGTCGGAAATTTGACTCCTGAGCGTGATTTTTTATCCGAATTCTGACTCTCTGCACCTATTTTCAGTTTCAAATTACGACTTTTTATACCGAAAATATGCCAATTACTGAAAACGGCGATGGGTCATATTTTGCCCAAACCCCCCTGCAGTTTTCAAAATGTCTGAAATGTCGGAAATTTGACTCCTGAGCGTGATTTTTTATCCGAATTCTGACTCTCTGCACCTATTTTCAGTTTCAAATTACGACGTTTCATACCGAAAATATGCCAATTACTGAAAACGGCGATGGGTCATATTTTGTCCAAACCCCCCTGCAGTTTTCAAAATGTCTGAAATGTCGGAAATTTGACTCCTGAGCGTGATTTTTAATCCGAATTCTGACTCTCTGCACCTATTTTCAGTTTCAAATTACGACTTTTTATACCGAAAATATGCCAATTACTGAAAACGGTGATGTGTCATCTGGGTCTGGGTGGATGGATCTGACCGAGCACCCACAGGTGTGAGCGAGCACCCACAGGTGTGAGCGACCACCCACAGGTGTGAGCGACCACCCACAGGTGTGAGCGGGCACCCACAGGTTTGAGCGGGCACCCACAGGTGTGAGCGAGCACCCACAGGTTTGAGCGAGCACCCACAGGTGTGAGCGACCACCCACAGGTGTGAGCGAGCACCCACAGGTTTGAGCGAGCACCCACAGGTTTGAGCGAGCACCCACAGGTGTGAGCGAGCACCCACAGGCCTGAACAAGCACCCACATGTGTGAGCGAGCACCCACAGGTCTTAAGAAGCACTCAAGTCTGAACGCGCACCCACAGGTGTGAGCGAGCACCCACAGGTGTGAGCGAGCACCCACAGGTGTGAGCGAGCACCCACAGGTGTGAGCGAACACCCACAGGTGTGAGCTGGCACCCACAGGTGTGAGCTGGCACCCACAGGTGTGAGCGAGCACCCACAGGTGTGAGCGAGCACCCACAGGTGTGAGCGAGCACCCACAGGTCTGAGCGAGCACCCACAGGTCTGAGCGAGCACCCACAGGTCTGAGCGAGCACCCACAGGTCTGAGCGAGCACCCACAGGTCTGAGCGGGCACCCACAGGTCTGAGCGGGCACCCACAGGTCTGAGCGGGCACCCACAGGTCTGAGCGGGCACCCACAGGTCTGAGCGGGCACCCACAGGTCTGAGCGGGCACCCACAGGTCTGAGCGGGCACCCACAGGTCTGAGCGGGCACCCACAGGTGTGAGCGGGCACCCACAGGTGTGAGCGGGCACCCACAGGTGTGAGCGAGCACCCACAGGTGTGAGCGAGCACCCACAGGTGTGAGCGAGCACCCACAGGTGTGAGCGAGCACCCACAGGTGTGAGCGAGCACCCACAGGTGTGAGCGAGCACCCACAGGTGTGAGCGAGCACCCACAGGTGTGAGCGAGCACCCACAGGTCTGAGCGAGCACCCACAGGTCTGAGCGAGCACCCACAGGTCTGAGCGAGCACCCACAGGTCTGGTCGGGCACCCACAGGTCTGACGGGCACCCACAGGTGTGAGCGAGCACCCACAGGTGTGAGCGAGCACCCACAGGTGTGAGCGAGCACCCACAGGTCTGAGCGGGCACCCACAGGTCTGAGCGGGCACCCACAGGTCTGAGCGGGCACCCACAGGTCTGAGCGAGCACCCACAGGTGTGAGCGAGCACCCACAGGTGTGAGCGAGCACCCACAGGTGTGAGCGAGCACCCACAGGTGTGAGCGAGCACCCACAGGTGTGAGCGAGCACCCACAGGTGTGAGCGAGCACCCACAGGTGTGAGCGAGCACCCACAGGGTGAGCGAGCACCCACAGGTGTGAGCGAGCACCCACAGGTCTGAGCGAGCACCCACAGGTGTGAGCGAGCACCCACAGGTGTGAGCGAGCACCCACAGGTGTGATCGAGCACCCACAGGTGTGATCGAGCAC